CTGCGATTGTCTGGACCCCGATCTGCCAAGAAACACTCGACACAGATGGCAGAGAGAGAACATGGAGGCTGGAAGGTGGGGGGGGTTGATTTCAATATCTCTTAACAGACCAGGGTCTAATTTTGCTGGAGATATTTGTAAGTGGGTTGAAGTGTGCTTCCTGACATGTTAGTGGGACTACATAAGTGTGAATGTGTGATTCTGAAGTGTTTTTGTCAGACAGACAGCCTGCAGAAGCTGCACAGACATTGTGAGGGCTCTGCGGGGAAGCAGTGTTCCCAGTGTTTGCCAGGAGCAGCTTTCCACCCTCTGTGGGCAGGCATGCTCGGTTGCTTGTTAGGTTGGCATTCACTTCGTGACATGGTTCGAGAGGAGAGAAGCGCACAACCATTCATAGTCACATTATCGGTAAAAGTAAACAGGAAGCTCGAGTGGTTTCCCAGTATGGGAAGAAATGTGATCACTGGACTCCACCACAATGATAGCCGTTTTTTTTTGTCTAGAACATTGTCTAAAATGTGTTATTATTGTAAATTGGGCTAAAGGATTAAGAAAACCTCAACTCAAAATATGCTCCAATCACATTGATCACATAGTAGAGGCACAACATTAAATGGCAATGTAATAAAGGAGCGGTGTAAGAGTGAGGGGTTGCTGCCTGCACAAATGAGTTGGGGGTGTCAGTGATTTGCATTATGGTATCTCTTCAGATGTGAACCTGACACATATCTCGTATATTTTGGGCCCGTGTTGGGTTCATTTGCGTAGTTATTTAGGGCAATTTAATTATTTGTGAATGTAGGTTGTTTTTCACGTTCCGTGCAAGTAAACACATTCATATTGGAAATGTGTTATTTGAAAAATACAAGTAAATAGACAGTCACAAAATTCATATATAGGCATTAAATCAGAATTGAGCAGTTGGACCTGGAGTGTAACTCTCAAAGGACCTGGGCGTGTCTCTAAGCCTGTCACGATAATTGCTATATCAACAAATCGTGGCCATGTAGCATGTCGCAGCCCACTCGCCAATCTGCGAGTTGGCACTCACTCACGCATGCACTAAAAACTAAGCCCGCCGTTCACGTAAGGGTGGACCAGCTTTTGAAACAGTTTGGTTCGCATGAGTACCCTCATGGCGGCCCGGTAGTCCAGTGGTTAGCACGTCGACTTCACAGTGCAGAGGTACCGGGGTCAATTCCAGCTCCGGCCTCCCTGTGTGGCGTTTGCATGTTCTCCCCGGGCCTGCATGGGTTTTCTCCGGGTACTCCGGTTTCCTCCCACATTCCAAATACATGCATGGCAGGCTGATTGAACACTCTAAATTGTACCTAGGTGTGAGTGTGGGCGTGGATGGTTGTTCGTCTCTGTGTGCCCTGCGATTGGCTGGCAACCGATTCAGGGTGTCCCCCACCTGCTGCCCGAAGACAGCTGGGATAGGCTCCAGCACCCCCCACGACCCTAGTAAGGATTAAGCGGTTCCGAAAATGAATGAAAAAAAAAAGAGTACCCTCATATCATAGATGCACACAACCCTTTTTCTCGTTTATAAATGAGCCGCAGCAGTGCATAGTTGCGCTAATAATAGTCATGTAGCATTAATGCTAGCTGGCACCACCATGCACATTGATGTATAGCTATCCTCTAGGGTGCTCTTTTTATCCTATTTCCTTACTTGTATGTGCACCATAGGTTCTTGTAACATTTGATACAACCCAACAGGAACTTAAAGAGATTGGCGACCGGTACAAAATACCTGTTTCGAGTGAACAGAATTGACAGCGAGACCACCGTACTGAGGCTCTAGCTCTCCAATGCTGGTGCATTGAGGGAGCTTCTAGCTTGCTTGAAATCATGCCAGTCTATGTGCTTCATATAAGATTTATTTGTTTGGGCTTTTATTGAAGGGAGTGTTGCTCAGATCAGGAAGAAAACAACCATTGTTTGAGCCAAGGTACCACATTTTCATGATAAAAATTTCACGGGTACCAGCAACAACAAAAATATTTTAAAAAGCATGAATGCTCTAGAAAAGTAATGATCTTCGCTCCTCTAAATTTAGCCACAAATGTACTTTCTCAGTCTGAAATCTGGGTTTGTTTATTGAACACAAAGTGGATATTTTTGTTGGGTGAATGAGATGATGGATGATAAGACATCACATTTTACTGTGCCACTACAAATATTACAGTATGTGACTGTATGTGTTGTGTGAATATTTGTTGAATTGCAATATTTTTAACAGAGGCTGAGTCACTTCTATTGACATTTTTAATCCAATATACTTTTACTGTTCATTGTGAATGCTCAAGCTCAGTTATTACCAGTTAAAAAAAATGTAGCTTGTAACACAATCCAACTACAATAATATTAAACGTAACATGATTACTCTTAATTACTTTGGGATTACTCCAATACCATATATGCCAATAAATGGAAAAAAAATACAAATAATGGAGATAGGGTCCAGGCCAGGCCGGTCTGCATATAGTGAAAATAAGTGAATAACTGTTGTCCATTCATATGCATATTTAAAAATATAAAGATAGATAGATAATTCGACACTTTATTCATCCCATGAAGGAAGACAGATTTGCTTGCTTCATGAAGTTGTTGCTTTGAAGACTGAAGTCAGAAAATCAGGATGAAAGGGGACAAATTACGCTTATGAAGGCAACATTTGCTGCTGATAGCGGTAGCCCCAACTCACAGCTCCCATCACACACACACACACACACACACACACACACACACACGCGCGCACCGTAATTGTGATACAATGACGATGCATGGCGTCAACTGCAAAAAAGAGAAAAAAAGACACGCTTGGTGATTTTTATTATTTATGTCGTGTTTAAACAGTAAAGCTGTGGGTGGTTTGTGACGAAGGGTAACACTTGACTGATGTTAGCGGCTACCAGCGGCTACCAGCTTTAGCTCAGCCAAACGTAGCCGAACCTTCGAAAGCTCACCTTTTCTTTGTTAATGTCATTTAAGATAAATTTGTCTTTCAGTGACTATGTTCCAAACGGGTCACCACTTTCTGCTTTCTTCTGTGCCGCCTGCTTTCAAACCGGCAGTGTTAGGAGGACACGTCACAGAATGTTCCCTCACCTCCTGTCTGCTCGCAACGGCTGCGTGAGTGGAATCAAGCGGCTCATATGAGCCAGACTAATTGTCACAATTTATCAACGTGTTACGCTCAGGGCTCAAATAAATAACCGAGCCGATGGTGTGGAAATTGCAGTCCTGCAAAATAATGCCCATTTTTATTAAATCTACCTGTAATCCGATTACGATTTTTTTTTCTGTAACTGAATACCGTATTTTTTGTGCGTGTTGTATTCTGAATACGTAACACTAGTAAATATATTCCGTCAAGTGAAAGATAATTGCACTTAAAAAGGATGGACTTGAATTATTTTTGCTCTAACATCATACCATATGGTTTATCTTGATCGTTTCTGGGAAACTATATTGCCTGGAAAAATGTGTTAACGTGACATGCCCCCATGTCTATTTGACCAAGTAACTGCCTTTCATCAAAAAGATGGCTTTGCTACTATATATCAGATTTTATAAGTCATTGTTTGTTGGGGGTTTTACAGTACAGTATACTGAATATAATTCCCTGACATGTGGGAAAGGAGAGCCACAATGGCCAACGCACTTTTTAGCCATTTATTCAAACTTGGGACATGCCCGGAAAACCTCACCAGGGAGGCATCCTAATAAAATGCCCGAGCCACCTCATCTGGCTTGTCTCTGAGTCCATCCTGTTCATGTCCAGTCTATGACTGTGCTTCTCACCTTATCTCTAAGAGAAAGCCCCCTGCGAAAGAAACTCATTTCGGCTGCTTGTACCCACAAACTTATTCTTTCAGTCCTATTGTGGTTGTATCTTGGGGACATCCTGCATAAAAAATAAATTCCTTCTTTGTGCACTTGGTTCCCTGTGGTGTATCGATGAAGATTCACTTACATGAAGATTAAAAGAGTAGAATAACTGACTAACTTTACATAAATTGTTTTACACAGATAAGGAATAACATCAACGTGAGTATTTTGTATAATCTGTCTGTATTGTATGTGTTCCCACAGTGTTTGTGTGTGAATATTTGTTATGTGAAGAATGAAGATAAAGCCCTCCAGGTGATGTCTAATGTTAATTTTTCAGTGCCGGTCAATAGGATTTTTCCATTCCATAACTAGCATTAAATTGTCAATGTTTCTAACAGCGAAGCGTTTCTCTATTTAAAATTACAACGTGTAATACTTTTCGTTCTGAGGTCTAAACTGCTTAAATGATACCCACGGAGGATATTCGTCAAATGCTTGCTGAGTGTAGATTCACAGCACAGGTACTTGCATACACGTACTGCACCCTGAGGCACATACCGCATTTTTCTTTGATTTCAATGTTTTTATGATGGTGAGTCAAAATCAAAATCACGAGGACTGTGTCTGTGTGTGTGTGCGTACGTGTGTGTGTTCGCGTGCACGCGCGCTCGTCACTTTCATCTTAATTACGCTTGACAAAACCAGTCTCCTTCTTTATATTCTCTTTTACTATGTTTTATTGTTTTTATATTTACAAGCTACAATACAGCGGTATTCAAGTAAATGTTTTTGGGAGGGGCGGGCGGGTCCTACAACGGATGAAATAATACAACCCAGCAAATTTTGTTGTGTTCATTTTGTTGTTGATTACCGTGTACATTATACCGTATAAAGCACTGCAATTTTTGTATAAATTATTGTTTAGCAAGTTTGTCGAGTGGTTTTTTTTTCTGTCTGAGTAGCACGCGCACGCACACGCACTGTCAGTCACACACAGCCGCGCAGTTCACTTGCTTGGCACCTGCTCGCAGTCTCTCGCTCTTCCCGTTCACTCATCCAAAATGGCGGCAGCGCCATCCATCCAGCCGCCAAGCGTCCACAACACTTTAGTCCGGGAGAGTGCACTTTTCTCGGGGATGGACAGTCCCGGGAACCAGCAGCCAGAGGATAAAGAGGTGGCGGCGGCGGCGTCAGCGCAGCCCGCGGAGCCGTGGACAAGCCTCCGTGACTTGCCCGAGCTGGAGCCGGAGGAGATAGAGAAGAGGCTCGCTAAAACTCGACAAGGGCTGAGCAACAGGCGGAAAATACTCATCAAGAACCTCCCGCCCGACACGACTAACCAGGTAGAGCACTTTTTCAAGTTGACAGCTGACGAAGTCAAAGTAGAGCGGCGCGGTTCAAGTTGGACCTCCAGATTTTATGTGCGTCCATGGGGCGTGCGTAATAGTTGACTTGACGCTTTTCGTCCCGCTACTGATGAATGATGTTTCATTGATTATGTTATTATAGGTCCGTATTGCAGAACTGATATGTTGAGATTTTGTTCGTGTACTTACATGGAATGCCTGCCTGGGAGTGACAAGTGCCAAAACTGTATTTTAGTCCAAAAGTCGTTTTGTGGTTGCCCGACCACACACCCATCTCTTGAGTTTTCATATTCCTGTAATGTACTTCACAGGCTTCTATTTCGCATATGAGGCACGGTCCTGTCAGTTTTTAAAACAACTAATTCAACAATGGTTACCTTTAGGGGTGATAACATTTTTTTAGCTCAGGTGACCACGTTTGATTTTCAAAATGGACAGATGGGCCAAAACCTCCCACATTCCAAAAAGGTGCATGGCAGATTCTGGAACACTCTAAAGTTTAGGCTCTAAACTTTAGAGTGTCAAACTCAGATCCTGGAGGGCTGCCATTCTGCATGTTTTCTATTTCTCCCTGTTGCACAACACAGCTGATTCAAATGAACAGGCTGATATTCCGCTTCTCAAGAGCTTGCTGATGAGCTGATTACTTCAATCAGGTGTGTTGCAACAGAGAGAGATGGAAAAGATGGAGGACGACAACGCTCCATGACCAGAGTTTGACACCTATGTTAGTCTAAATTGTCCCTAGTTGTGAGTGTGAGCTGGAATGGTTGTTTGTCTGTGTGTGCCCTGTGATTGGCTGGCAACCAATTCCGGGTGTACTCCGCCTACAGCCCGAAGACAGCTGGGATGACCCTTGTGAAGAAAAGCGGATTGGAAAATGGATGGCTGGATGGATGTAGTGTTTTGTTTTCTTATTTCAATAAAATACTGTATTTACAACGAATTAAACAATTATATTACAAGATTAATGAATTGTAAGAACTCTTTATATGAACCAATGTTAAGACAAAAAGTCGGCTAAATTAATGGAGAGAATATTTTAGGACTCTGTCATACTAAATGCTAAGTGGGCTGAAAAAAAAAGTGGAATGTACGTACCCCCAGGGCTGTACTTTTCCCATCCTTGACATTTTTGATGTGAAACGAATGTCTGAAATTCCTCTCATGCATCGGACTGCAAGAATTACAGTATTCACATTGAGCTCTCATCTTTGATTTTTTTTTTTTTAATGGTTTTTTTTCTGTTGGATGTCAGCATACCATCGTTGCTACAGTGTGCTGGGATTTGTGCTGATCCATGCAGAACAGTTTTAATTGCATGAGGAGTTGTTGTGATACAATTTGGGATAAGATCAAGTCGAATGTCGTCTGCATTCTCCACTATGTCAGTGTGTCAGAACCATTGTGATATGTGTCGGGAGCCTGAGCAGAGCGGCATGATGTCTGCCCTGCTGAATGTGCACATACTGTTCAGTCTGTCCAAATATTTAAAGGAGAAGGTCCGTTTTTGATGTTGAACGCTGTCACTGACTGGCTGCAGTACTATTACTTGGGACAAGCTCTTATCCTTGTTGTTTCTCTCTTTTATTGATATGTTTGTTTTAACCGATCTTGTGTAGCTGCTTGGTCCTGCAGTATAATGGATCTGGATGCCTTTTTCTACCAGAAGTGTTTTGCTGTTGGGAATTTTCTATACTTGCGCTGGGGTGATTGGTATTGTGATTTTTATTTACAGTGGTACTTCTACTTACGAACATCTCTTCATACAAAATTTTGAAGTTACGAAACGCCTCAGCAGGAAAATATTGCCTCTTGTTACGAAAGAAATTTAAGATACGAAAGGTAAAAACACAGTCTAGGCTGCTACTTGCAGCTCAGTTTCCTGAACACAACATACTTCGAGCTGCTCTGCTATTGGCTATTCCCGAGCATCTTCCTGGCATCCCATTGGCTCAGAGGGACCTCTACTGTATGTGTCTATGTGTGTAGATAGATAAATAGATATGTGTCTATGAAGTGTCCTCGTCGGGCCATGAGGCGTTCCGATGTGAATCACCCAGAAAAAGTTTTCACCGGTATGGCGATGGCTCACAATGCTGATGTTTGCCTTGGACATTTTCGAAGGATTGTTAAAAGCTGACAAAAGCAAACATCCTTAGATCAGTTCTTTACAAGACGCCGGGAAAAAGCACTTCTGAGACAGAACATGCACTAAAGACGGTAAAAAAACGATGAGGACACAGTTAAAAGTTAAATGACCATCATTTTTATTCTTTACTCTTTGTTTTTTACATTTTGCACAACTCTCATTTACTGTGCAATAATCTAATTGTAACATGTATTTGTTACATATTTTGATGCATTTTTATGCTTTAGAAAACATTTATGTCTGAATTTTGGGGAGTCTTGGAACGGATTAGGACATTTACATGGAAAACGTGTCTCTACTTACAAAATTTTCTTGTTAGGAAATTTCTTCCAGGAACCAATTAATTTCGTAAGTAGAGGTACGACTGTATATTGGAAATGCACTCAGACTTAATAAGGCTTTAGAAGAGCAAAAGAGAAACGAGAACAGAGCAAAAACAGCAAAGAACAGTAACAGTACAAAACAGTATATGATAAGAATAACATTCCATCGGAGTTGGATTCTAATTTGGGGAAGGCTGTGCTACGCCCTGTGAGGAAGGGATGCAACAAGTAGCAAAAAGGACAGGATGAAATAGAGCAGAATTGGTACAAGATAGGACTGGGGTAGTAAGCTCGGGAGTGCTACCAGTGTGTGGCGTGAATGTGTGTGCAGAAATAAGAAAAAAAAACACACCTGTAAAGAAGTTGAGTATTCTGATAGTTTTGCTAGCACATAGATAAACCGGCTTTTCTTCTTTCAGCCACTGACCATGTCCTTATTGGTTGCATGTTTATTTAGTTTAATTCTTGACTTGACTTGAACCACTGCTGCTTTACAGTCATATACAAAAGTATCACCTTGGGATCCATTTACTCAAATAAATAAAACTAAAAGTCACCGATGATGTAATTGGACACTCGCCTGACTTGGATGCAAGCAGCTTGGGCTCAAGTCCCATTCAGTGACGGTGCGGATGTGTGTGTAAATGGTTGTTTGTCTCGATATCTGCCCTGTGACTGATGGGCGACCAGTTCAAGGTGTAGTCCGCATTCCACCCCAAGTCAGCTTGGATAGGCTCCAGCACCCCCCGCACCCCTGGACCCTGTTAAGGGTAAGCAGTGTTGAAAATAACGAATATAACATAGCATCACCAAATTTTGTTCTAATGATTGACATTGAAGGGTTTATTTGGTCATAAATGACAAAGAAAACCAGCATCATTAACAGAATCCACCATGAGGTTATTGATTTATGGAAGGATCTCGTCATGGTGCTCCATAAACTGTAAGCTGTCTGATGGAGTGAACGTCCTCAGCCTGACTCCATCTGCTATTCACTTAGACTTGCTGCCCCATTAGTGAGAGCTTTATTCATTTACTGTACGTGTGTGTTTTGGCTTGAGTTAGTGTCGGATCCATCTGTGACTCTCCACATTACAGGAAGCATTTGGGGAATAGAAATGACAAAGAATAGTGCAACAAGTATTTTTGGAAGGCCCAATCATTGATATAAGCAATATATGCAATCCATATGAATAATATTATGTATTAGTTGGGGATGCACCGATATTCACATTCTTGGCCAAAAAGAGGAAACCATGGAAACTGAAACCGCTTATAACTAAAGACCTAAAACAAAACAGAACAAAACAAAAATAACAAATTTTCAGCTGCGTTAGTTTAAAAATGTGTCTATGTATGTATATATATATATATATATATATATATATATATATATATACACACACACACACATACAGTGATCTCTCACCACATCACGCTTCAAGTTTTGCGGATTCATTATATATATATACTGTATAGATATAGTATATATACTATACAGTATATACTCTATCTATCGATCTACAACCTATATAGATAGACAGAGCGGCATGATGGTCGACTGGTAAGCACGTCATTTATTTCATGAATTGATTTATTAAATATTTTAGTCTGTCGAGTAACAGGTCTTCCAAGTTTAATAATTTTTCATGGTTTTTATTTTTTAAGTATATTTTAGCAGTGCTCATTTATTTTCTCGTGTTTCCCTGGAGGGAGCCCTCTACTGTGGGAGCTCTGGTGGGCCCATGGTCCCGTCTCTCGGCTCCCCAGTTGCTGTACTTGCTGGCACCTTCGACACCGGTGTACTGGGGGCTCAGTGCTCGTGGCCGGCAGTTGCGGCCTGCGATTTGGTCTCGTTGCAGAGGGCTCCATGAGATAGTGTTTTACACACAAGATGCTCTCTACCCATGTCTTCTTGTTTTAGTTATCTATTCCTCTTTTGCCTTTTAATGTTGTCTCTGTGTATATACTGTGCTTTGGTCGTTGTGGGTGGTGGTATCGGGGGTGATCTTGAACAATGTGAAGCACTTAGTTATATGGGCGTGTATGAAAAGCACTCAACAAATAAAGTTTGAATGATTGACTGACTGACCACAAGACCAGATCTGGCCTGAAGTTGGTTGAAATGATCTCAGGTGGAAGAGGAGTCTCTGGTCTCAGTCAACCTGCATTGTCCAGTACTGGGCAGTGTTGCGGATTACTTCTGCTCTTGGGGATGGTTTTGCTCAACTCGACTCAACTCAAATGTATTTATAGAGCACTTTCAAACAGCCATCGCTGCACACAAAGTGCTGTACATGGAGCAACTAACATATACAACAGTAAATCAAAGCAACAAATCAGTAACAAAGATGGTAGAGAGCACCAAACAGTAGAACTTAGATCATAATTTGGGTCATGATGAGTCAAATGCCAAAGAATACAAGTGAGTTTTGAGGCGGGTTTTAAAGATGGGCAGCGAGGACCTGGGAGTAGTCCTGCTCTTACAAAGGGGGTGGTGATTGAGCTTCTAGGCATTGGTAGAGGGAGGGCATTGTTGGTAGTTCTCCTTTCCATGGTGCTCACCAGTTTGTCATAGGACCTGGTTGTGTCTCCAGGTATTGCGGCCTTGGGACAAACTGTTTTTGCCCCCAGTGAGTGTTGTGGTTTAGGTTCTTGGGTGTTGGAAAACCATCACAGATGGCTGTGATGTTGAAGCTTCATTGGCTTCCCTTCATCTCCCAAAAATGTTATGCATATATTTTTTTTCTGTCAAAAATTGGCATCTGCCTTAGAAAATCCTTATTGGCCTATTCATTAACTCATCATTTCATCCACTGTAAACTGAACTTGAAATATTTAACGCATTTTCCAATTTATAAATTGCAGGGTTTTTTTCATAGTTTGGCCGGGGGTGTGACTTTTACTCTGGAGCGACTTATGTGTGAAATGGTTAACACATGATAACATTTCACGTTATTTTCACGTTAAACCACAAGAGGGTACTCTTGGCCTATGTTGATGATTTCCACTTTGGCGGTAACTGATAAAAACAACTGACGATGTCTCTGACGTAAGCGACGTAGAAGAAGAAGCGCCGCATCTTCTAATTCGCGGAGTTCTTGAAAAGTGACGCCGAGGATGAAGATTTC